ATTTTTGATTAAAAACAATATATATATATATACATATATATATATATATATATACACACACACACACACACATAGTATATATGTATGTAACAAGACTAGCAGTACAGAATTAGCTGATAAATATTAAGCTTGTATTTAAAATGTGTTTGCTGATGACTTTCCAGTGGTATAGGACATTCATTCTCTCAGCGGCTATAAATAAATTCATTAGCATGTCTGAATAAATGTTTGAACAGAATTCTCTATGACAACTAAATGTATTGCCAAATATTCTGGTTTCTTGGCTCTTACCCGTCCATGTATTGTATATTCAATATCGATGTGAAAGCCTGGCCCAAACTAAATTAATTTTTTTTTTTAAAGTCTGAATGTTTGGGTCATATACAGTACGTTCATAAGCGGATATTGTATATCTTTCTAATCACTAAGCTTATTTTTTTATGTGAATGTATCTTGTATATCAGATACATATGTGGTGCCTCTCTTACTAGATTACACATAAAGGGAACCATTAAGAAAAAGCATTAGCAATACTTTTCTGGTTTTCTTGGTAGGGTCCCTTTAAAAGATCCTACTCCTAATTCATAAAAGCCTTATGACAGTTTCGTTAAGAGCACAGGCACGTGCAACAGATTGAGTTCTTTCTTTTTTTGTGCCACTTATACAATGTGTCACTATGGCTGCAATAAATTAAAAAAAGAATTACCACCAGTTTGTAGATAAGGACACTGGAGACAGTTAGCCAACTTTAAGTTGGTGTACAGAGAAAGGCATGCAAACATACCCTGCTATTTACTACACAGTGAGGCTCTGCTATGAAGTAAAGAGCAGGATGTATTTGAACTGGAAAGCTGTGTGTGACAACTTCCCTTAGGTCTGGTTGGTTGTTCGAATGCCAGCGTCCTAACAACCAATGGCTCTTTCTCTGCCATTGGTTGTTGGCAGATACCCCAGCTGACAGCCGAATGTAAAGAAAGGGGCTGTACCTGGTCAATGATGTCAGTCAGCATCAGGGCAGCCATCAGAAATTTTGAGGCCCCCTTACACGGCCTTAGGCCGGGCCCCCCACTGAGCCAGTCACATCAGTCTCTGTACAGAGACTGATGTGACTGTAGGGAGGGCATTAGAGTGTAAGCTCCTCTGTGCAGAGGAGCTTACACTCTAATGTCCTCCCACAGTCACACACTATTAGGCAGGGATTAGTGACGCGCTGGAGGCAGGGATTAGTGCAGGGGTGCCCACAATTTTTTGTGTGTGTTAAGATCTACTTTTCAAATGACGAGCTACATGAGATCTACCAACGAAAAAACAAATCTCCTCGCTCTATCTCCTGGCTGTCTCTCCTTGCTCATCCTCCTGGCTGTCTCTCCTTGCTCATCCTCCTGGCTGTCTTTCCTCGTTTTTTCTCCTGGCTGTCTCTTTGCTCCCTTGGCTGTCTCTCCTTTGCTCTCTCTTTCCTGGCTGTCTCTCCTCTCTCTTTCCTGGCTGTCTTTCCTCTCTCTCTTTCCTGGCCGTCTCTCCTCTCCCTTTCCTGGCTGTCTCTCCTCTCCCTTTCCTGGCTGTCTTTCCTCTCTCTCTTTCCTGGCTGTCTTTCCTCTCTATCTTTCCTCTCTCTCTTTCCTGGCTGTCTTTCCTCTCTCTCTTTCCTGGCTGTCTCTCCTTGCTCTCTCTCCTGTCTGTCTCTCGCCGCCCTCCTGGCTCACCTTGCTGTATTTTGCAAACAGTGTAGTGCAACAGGCTGTGTAAACTAATATTCTTTGATATAATACATAGCACTTCAACCGCCAGTATCCACCAGAAAGGTGTCAGGGAGCTCGGCTCAGCAGACTCAGGCTAATAGGTAATCATGTGTGCACAGCTAAAATAATATACCAAAATGGAATAAAGGGGCCGCCATGGGAAGGAGCTGCGGAGAGTTGGCCTGCTGCATGCTGGGAGCTAGGGCGTTAACAGGGCCCTCTTCCTCCTGTCCAGGCACCCCCAAGTGGTGGAACTACCAGTCGCAGCTGCGACTTGGCCCTGGCGTTCCACCATTTGGGGGGGTCCGTTAACCACCAAGGTGCTTACATTGCCTCCTGGGACTACCACTCCCAGCAAGCAGACGCTCCACATCTCTTTTCCATGGTGGCTAATATGGGGGTATGGGCAGGGCCGTGGGTGGTCTCACCAGGGCTGCGGGCGCACTCACCAGGGCTCTGCAGGGTCTCAGGTGGATAGAGTGCAAGATTAGGGCTGCCGACAGCTCGCCCACCCTGTGTCCAGGTCGGTCCGCTCTCTCCCCGGCTGCTTTCTGTCTGAAACGGAACGCCAGGGCCCGGTCGCAATTGCGACCCTAGTAGCTCCGCCAGTGCCTGGCCTCCTCTGCAGCTGTCTCGGGCCGGCTGAAATTGACCTCACGGCTCGAGATCAGAAGAGCAGCAACGGTCCTGCCCGGCCCTCCGACAATTTTGGGAACAAGTGCACGCTCTCGCTCAGAAATTTACGGACGTCCAGGTGCCTGAAGACCCAACCTTCTTTCTCCTCCACCATAACACCATCCCGCTGCGCTCCTATACCCACTCCTTGATCAGACACGTGGTAAATGCCGCCCGGGCATGTATTCCAGCACTCTGGAAGAAAACCGAAGCCCCCCTCATAAGCCAAGTCCTAGACCGTATCCATGATATATACATCATGGAAGACCTCACAAGCTCCATTAAACATACCTCTGCCTCAGTCGCTCGAACCTGGTCCCCCTGGTTGGAATACATTCGGTCCCCTGACTACCTTACCCTCAGATAGGAGAACGCTGACCTGCTCCTGATGGGGAAACCTTATCCCATCTCCTCCCTGCCTTTCCTGTTTCCCCACCCTTTTTAGGTATATGCCCTACCACCATCTCTCTCTCTCTTTAGTGACCTAGTAACTACTGGCCCATTTATGCCGTATCCCTTTTTTTTTCCTTTCCTTTTCCATCACTCAACCCCTTACCCACACAACCTACTCACATTCACTTGCCTAACACTGGTTTTTTTTTTTGTTTTGTTTTTTTCTCTTGTTCTGGTTTGTTTTGTTGTGCACACTAAAGTTTTAATAACGACATCTCTTATGCATGCTATTGACAGGATGTCGTTTCACTTAGGGATAGAAGTCCCTTCCCCCCGCCCCCCCACACACCTCCCTCGGATCCACAGATGCGCTCATAAGCACTTGGACACTTATATGTCCCCCTCTTGAGATACTTACGGGTCACTGACTAGCTGAGCAGGGGGAACACCCTCCCCTTATTTTTTTCAACGCTTTAAATATCTTATTTTGTTTACTTTGTCATATACATCGCAATTCATTTGGTGTATTTTCTCTATGACCGCCCGAGAGAGCACTTGTTTTTCTCTTCCTGTGATCACTGTCAAAGCTTTTAAAATATAAAATAAAAAATTTATTAAAAAAAAGAAGAGCAGCAACATCGATGGGGCTCCAGCCTGCTCTGATACCGCTGGATGCTGGAGCTGCTAGAGCCAGGCCTCCTTCGGCGCTGCGAGGGGCCCGGCCGAATCCTCACCTGTCACCGTCGGCCGATACTCATGTAAGGGTCCCGGGCGGGCCCTAAAAGCTGCCCGGGCCCCTTACATGAGTATCGATCGTACCCCCCTGATGGCGGCCCTGGCCAGCATCCCCCTGCCTCTTCGTTTTCAGCTCTTGGCTGGGATATCTCCTGGAAAGGGTCAGGGATGAGCCATTGATTGCTAGAACACTGTGCCCTAACAATCCAATGACCTGGGGCTGGATTGGCAAGCTGAGAGACCTGTTCCCAATCAGGTCCACCTAACTCGCAGCCTGCATATTTCTCCTGTGACAGTGTTCCTGTAATTTATAAGCAGTTAGAAAAATATCAGTATCGTTCATTATCTTCAAAGGCACCTATTTAAGGAATGTTTTATTTAATCAAAATATAGTTTAAAAAATGTATATAGATTGCTGGACCTCTAAGGGTCCCTAACAGCCCTGGCTGTTTGCCATGAGGTGTTGCACACAACCCTGGGACGCCTATTCTACCTTATACCCTCTCCTTTTCTCCCTCTTCTTTTTTGAATGCTGCCTTGTGGACTCCGGCTGCTGGAAGAGATGTTGTATATGTATTATGAATGGCCTACCCACAAGGTCTCTGAATATCTGTTCATCATAACTGTAACCCTATTCCTTTGACTGTTACGCTTAAAAATTGTTTCTCCAATAAAAATATTGTACAAGAAAAAAAAAAACATTACATCACAGCAGCTCAAATATACATGGACCTTAACACATTGGTTGGCAGGATCATAGGACTACTGTACCAAATAAAGATTCCATTTGATTAGTTTTCTCTGATCTACTTATTAATTTATAATTTTTAATTTTAAAATGTTTAATGTAATAGGATAAAATGCAACCAGAAACCGGCCGGCAAATTAACAAATTGTGAGTCTTGATATTACTTTACATAGCACTCAAATATATATGCATATTTTATTACCATTCCCAGACACATGGCACTACAATGGCAAGCAATTTAGTTATTGCTGGTGCTTCAAAGTTCCAGAAACTGAGAAGCAAATCTGTATTTGCTCAACAGAGGGCGCTCCAAGTTATTTTTTTCAATACAAGGCTACATTGGAGAGACTGAGCCCTCTACATTTTACAACATTAAGTGCATGCATTACAGCACGGAATAAAGAAGTTTTCATCATTTTGATGCGCTATTTATTATCCATCATTTTAATCACCTTGGCAGCAAGCTTGAGGTGCAGTTATACACCCTCATATACCTTGAATAATTTACATAGTGTTAGCAAGCAGTCTGGGTCTTTAATCCTATGAGAGACATTAGATGATTATTACTTGATGACCGAATCATTTTTATGAGAGCTTGCAATTTCTGCAGATGACGTCCCTCCACCTCTTCAAAGTCCAGGGAAATATCTTCCCACCATTGTGGACCTTGTGACATAAGACCACACAGTTAGGGTATCACGGTTTCTTGTGATATGAGCGTGCAAGAACCTCTGCATTGTTCAGCAGTGGGTCTGACTGCTGTCAGAAACTAAAGCCACCCTCCCCCCAATACCATGAATGGCCTCAAAGCAATTGTTCAAACTTCAAAATGTACCAGACACAAAAAATGAATAGAGTAATTTTTTACTCATAAATCAATCTCATTTCACATGCGTTGGATGGTTGAATAATGTAACATATATCAAATTATTAATACATTGCTGTATATTTTGTGTAAAGTGTTGGAGTACAGAAAAGCTTAAAGGAGAACTATGGGGTCAGTGTTTTCCCCCATAGTTCTCCTTAGGGTAACGGGAGGACACAAACTAGCGTCCTCCCGTTACCATAAGCTCAGTATACCGCAAGTTACAGCTCGCGGTATACTGAGACGCCGCAGCCGGAGCGGATCCCGACTTAGACGACGGGATCCGTCCAGCTGCGTGAGACAGCTGTACCCGCCCCCTCCCCCGTCCGTTCCGCCAGTCAGCGCTGGCAGATCGGAGCGGGGAGAGGGGAATCCAGCCCCTCCCCCTGTCACGGCAGAGTGCCGTGACAGGTTCGAGAGGTGAGCGAACCCGGTATGTGCTTGCTCACCTCCCGATCTACTGAGCCGACCTGTGACAGTCTCATTGTCACAGGTCGGCTAGAACTATGAGGTGAGTGAAAAGCACTCACCTCATAGTTCTCCTTTAAGAACGGCAGATCATTTTTCATTATGCCTTGTACGCCAGATTTTAATTACTTACTTTTTAAAGGACTGGTTTTGTGTATAATAATTATGTACCTCAAGTTCGAACAATTGCTTTAAAAGGAGATCTATGGGGTTAGGGCTTTTCCCCATAGTTCTCCTTAGGGTAACGGGAGGACACAAGCGTCCCCCCGTCACCCAAAGCTCAGTATACCGCGAGCTACAGCTCGCGGTATACTGAGACGCCGCAGCTGAAACGGATCCCGACAATTATGTCTGGATCCACCCAGCTGCGTGAGTGACAGCTGGCTCTGCCTATCTAGAGGCAGAGCCAGCTGTACCCGCCCCCTCCCCCGTCCATTCCGCCAGTCAGCGCTGGAGGATCGGACAGGGGAGGGGGTAATCCAGTCACTCCCCTGTCACGGCTCTTTGCAGTGACAGGATGGAGAAGTGAGCGAACGCCGGTATGTGTTCGCTCACTTCCCGATCTACTGAGCCGACCAGTGACAGTCTCATTGTCACAGGTCGGCTAGAACTATGAGGTGAGTGAAAATCTCTCGCCTCATAGTTCTCCTTTAAAGTTAAGTATGGATACATGCATGTGGTACCTGTCCCGCCCCAAAGTATCATTAACAGCCTCCAATACAGTCATCAGTTCTTTTAGTAGGTAGTTCTCTGAGATTTACAATAATCAAGAAATCACTGTCAATTTATAAAATTACCTGTGTGATGCAAACCCGATAACATTATATATATATA